TCGGAGACCTAAGCATAGATGGGAAAGGAATGTTCTTAAAAAAAATTATTGTTAGCATGTGGGCTTGGTTAATCTGGCTTAGGATAGGGTCAAATGGCGATGTCCTTGTTGTTCTGTAAAAGGAGGTCAACCTTTGACCAGATGTGTGACTGTTAGCTCCTCAAGAAAGATGTACTGTGAGGTAAAACCAATGTCAGGCCGCGAAGCCCTCAAATCTCACTTTCTCTATTTACTTAACTTTTTTAAGTTTTTGAACGCACTGTTCTTTTGTATCAGCTCAAAGACCCGACATTTTAAGTTGTGTTTGCGCTCAGAGTAAACCTCGTTTTTCATTTTCTGGTTCTGAATAAAGTCCATCGTGCCACTTATTATACACTTTTGTGCAGAGTACAAGAACTGAAGTCTCTATTCAGACATTTGTACATACCAATGAGTTAACACACAAACAAACAAAATATTAATACAAAAAGAACGTTCCTTTTTCCTCTCTTTCTTTCTTTCTTTCTTTCTTGCAAGTGATAATGTGTGGGACTTGTCACGAGTCAGAGACGTACTGGTTCGTGGGAGCGGGGCGCTTAGGCCCGCCGCTCCTTTAAGACTCACTCGAGTGTTGCCCCGAGCCTTTGTCTACTCTCGCTATTTAAATCTGCACTTGTCGCGTCCCGACGGACAATGGTCCATTACTTCCAGCACATCAAGGATCACCCCGATAGCTTTGATGGATTAAAGACTCATTGATGTGAATGCAGGAGCCAGTCAGTCGTCACTGAATCCCGATGTGAAATTCAACAAGAAATTGAACTCTGACAGTGTGACCGTTTGCTGCTGAATTAAATTAAACTGTTAACATTTACCCTCTGACATAAATAAGACCAAGATTATGTAATTTCAATCCATATTTAGATTACTTAAGGATTATGAATTAATGCAAAATGTTACTAAGTCGATAGGTTCTATAAAAATTACTTTACGTTATAAATTATCAGCTATAGCCTGGATAATATGTAAAGTGATAAGTGATAAATTTCTGTTTTTAATTTTCAAAAAATATTCCTGAAGCCTAGAGTTTTTTCTTAAGATGTCGAGATATCCCTAAATTACCCTAAATGTTTTTCATCAAGCGGTACATTTTCGATCTAACTTTTTCTACATATAAAACTTCTTTTCCGGATTCTACTAACAAATGTCGTGATTCAAAATCCAGTCACCTTTCTTGACTGATTTTTCTTTAATTATTGATTAATTCAGTAACAAAGTCAACAGCACATTCGTTGCCTTGGAGACAAAAAAATCTGTTTTTAATGGGAGATCTCTTTCCCAGGATTAGGTTTTGGTTCCACGGAGGTTTTCTACATTGTCTCTGTTTCATTATATGTTTTTTTTGGAATTGTCGCTATAAATGTTTACTTGTCATCAGTGTTAACGTAGACATTTTGGCAAGTCACTGATTTGAGACTATCAATGTTTACTTGTCATCAGGGTTAACGCGGACATTTTGGCAAGTCACTGATTTGAGAAAACGAGCATCTCATTGTCGGAATTTTTTCATCCAAAGTCAAATGCATTCAGTTCATTGTGTGGGTTTCTTCCTGACCTGGAGTAGACATGATCTCTCAAAGGATTCCTTTCTGTATGCTTTTTGAAGCGACAGGGTCCTCGCTGGCTGAGTTCATTATCACAGTCTTTATCGGTGCAATGGAACGACTTGTTTTCAATTTCATTATCGGTCCGCTGAGTTTCGTAGAGTTCAACCAGTCCTCTGGGCGATCTCTTCGTCGGGGTTGATGTCTGGAAAGAACATAATCTCCGAACACATAAAACCTTTAATATCTGATCCTACAGTCGCTCCATTTTTATGTATCTGTGACGAATTAAGAACATCAAAATGCTACACGTTACGTCATGTTATATTTTGTCAGGCTGTTAGGTTATGTTAGTTAAGTTAGGTTCGTAGCACAGCTGTGATATTGTGTCCTGAGGAATTTCCTATGTCGGATTCAAAGGCTGCAACATATATGTTCTGTGAGGAGATAGTTCTGTCAGCTGTATGCCGAGGTCTTTGTAAAATCGAGTAGTTTCATAATATGTGTGGCTTCATGGTTGCATAGAATCATAACAGCAGAACTTTGCCATCGTATTCACATTTCAGAAAGTGTATTAAACAATCGAGAAACAAAATCTATGTTGATCCACTTGGAATTCGCTTATTAAAAATTTCTTCCCAGAGAGAGGTAATTAAAAATGAAAGTAATACGAATATTGGCTTTAGAAAAGTAAAAATATTTATTATGTTAATTGATTTAAAGTGTTATTGGACTAATCATTTCGTAATTACTGTGTTATTCTGTAACAGTTAAAACAATTTGTTAAAAACAATTTACCTAAGATATTTATTTGGTAATATACTGTTATTACAATGAATTTAAAGCAAGTCTAATTAAAGAAATGAAATTTCATATCTCTGGTGGAAATTGTACCGATTTTGCCATCGAAACTGCGCCTAAAATTTTGAATGCTGTTTCCAAAACCTTTTTAAAGAAAAATGAGCATGTCTCTAATCAGAGAGTACGTGACTTCCACCGATCACTTTTGACTCCAGCTGGGCATTAAAATTTATTTCATATGAATGAACTGTTATTATGTTTAGGAAAGTCTTCAGTACAGTACAGAAGAAATAATAAAGAGCGAACTGTAACACAGATACAAAGTCGAAACGTCGCTGAATCTTTATGGCCCATTTTCGCAGTCCTGAAAAAATTCTTAATAATTATAATTATAATTTTCTTTATGATCTTCGAACTTGTAGTACCTATTTAAAATTATACCATTTTTTTTCATAATTAATATTATGGGACTATATCTTGTGTAATTGTGATAATCCAGCAGAATAACTGATCATAATGTAGGCCTGTAACACCGTGGCCTCTGAACTCAATGACTCAGTCGCCAAAACCTAATTTAAAAAGCAACTACTCAGTTACATCGACCTGAAGATGATTTTGCACAGGAGAGGCTTTTACCCTTTAAGCCTAGATACTGGCGTTGGTAACTACACGTATGAATTTCGTATGATTCTCGCTGTAAACAGCGATTATTTCCTTAAACAGCATTAACCAGTTGATCTTTGTAATGGTGAAGAGTTGTGTTTTCTTCGCGGTACGGGCTGAGTTCTTAAATGTTATTTAGACGAGTTTCGGCTGCAGAAGTTGTGAGTCGTTTCCCAGGAGGTCGTTGCGTAGTCTGCCTACTTTAGTTCTGTAGAGCACGCGACTGGCCGGCTCCTCGGGACAAAGGGGCCCATATACAGCGCGTTAGTTCGCCACAGTGGACCCGAACGTACGCAACATCGCGTTATAATTAGGAGCTAACGTCTCTGCATGCGAAACTCTGTCTAAATGTGTACATTGCATTGACACGCTCCAGCCTGGAAGCATAACCCACCCTCATGCATTTCGTATCAGAGCAGAAAACAGTTACCGCATTATTTACGCACTTAATTTCTCACACCCCTTCCCCTCCTCATTCAAAATGGTTCTCGTGTTCAAGTAAGAAAGAATCGATCAGTAAGAATGTAGCGATGATAATGTCTTATCATCACGACCAGACCGGATCTGGGGTCCGCTGAGTCTCCTATCCAGTGCGTTATTCATTTGAGAATAAAAAAAGGATTGGTTTTGCGGGCATGTAGCGAGCATGGGACAGACGAGAAATTGACCAACATACAAAATCTTAGCTGGAAAACCAAAAAGGAACGGTAAATTTTTGAGATTCAGGCATAAATAAGACGATAATGTTATAATGAAATTTTAATGTGTTTCAAGATGGTCTCTAGTATCCGGCTGTTGCAAAAGCGGAAATGAAATTTCGGGTTTCAAAAAAAAAAAAAAAAAAAAAAAAAAAAAAAAAAAAAAAAAAAAAAAAAAAAAAAAAAAAAAAAAAAAAAAAAAAAAAAAAAAAAAAAAAAAAAAAAAAAAAAAAAAAAAAAAAAAAAAAAAAAAAAAAAAAAAAAAAAAAAAAAAAAAAAAAAAAAAAAGCAAGCGAATTTCTTGATCAGACGAGCGACTGTTAGCGTCTGAAGAAGAATTCTGCTTTATGTAGGCCTACTGCCTGCTAATTATAATTTAAATATTAATTTCTTAAATTGTTCAAATTTGAGAACAACTTAAAATAGCTCAGGGCTGTTTCTTTCTGAGGTCATACCGACGAAAGCCGTGTTTATGGGATTAGCTTGGACACCCTGACAGAGGCAGTTCGAGTCTTCCTCAGACTTCCAGTCACAACAAACCTTGGATTGAAGGCGAAATTACCTTCAAATAGGCCACGTCGCTTCCCGTCCATTGCAATTATTCAAGCCACATCTCATTCAAAATAGTCTTATGAGATTTTAGAGCGAAGTTAAATAGCTTCGTCGCCCTGATGATGGAGGCAGCTAGTACCCCGAAAACATTTGAGAAGTACTAACAGCCGACACGACCTCAGCAACCCAGAAACGGACGTCTTCATATTCATCAGATTTTATTAATATTTCCAAGATAATTTTTAATGTGTTGTTATATTTTCGGTATCGAGAGGTTTCCCCACCAAACTTCTGTACGCATCGTGTTTCCTTATTCGGGCCGCGTGCCCTGTTCACTATTGCTTTGATTTCATTACCTTAACGATGCAACGCGATTTGTACAAATTGCAAAGTTTCGAAACAACACGGACTGATAGATATTCACAGCGTCGTGGCAATCAACCGTGGAGCGAAAGAGTACAACGCCATAAAACTCATCTGCTGATATAATTAAATGACAGCTACACTGTCATTACAGGCCTCTCTGCCTGCCCTCATTTCGTATTGGCCTAAATGCGTGCAGATTTGCTCCGGCATCGGTCGAGGCGGGGCCGATGCGCCACATTTCGTTGGCTCCGCCTACCACTTGGTGTAGCCAATCAGGGCGAGGCGGAGTCCAGGACGGGAGACCGGGAGGAGTTCGGGCGACTCCGTGTCACTATCGACAAACATCGATCAGTGTGTAGTGTGCGCGGAGTGTCGCATTGTGGTCAGTGAGCCAAGTGTTTCCCTTCTGCATTAAGCTGGATAAGACAGGAAGACCCCACGTCCACGGCCCTCAGCATGAAGGTATGTTAACCCACCAGCATCTCCTCAACCATTCGCTGCAGTGGTCTGGAACCAGCGTGTTGGATGAAGATTTCTGTCTTCTGGGTTGTTGTCTCCGTCGAGGCAGTATGACCTCTGAAACGTCGGTTAAACTTCTACCAGACTACACGGCGCAACAACCCAGAAGACAGGACTTCAGACTCACCGCTGTGAAAACCTCAGATCTTACATCGTGATGGATCTTCAGGAGTGCAGTGATTTTAAAGGTAACGCGTTCCAAGTTCTGAACAGATTCAAAGAACGACGTTCCAAGGACAAATTTCTTAAAAGCCTGAATAAGCCGAGAGATTCGCTGGCACGTGAAGTCTAAACACTGACATTGAAATACATAAATAGTGAGTCTAGGCTGAAACTTAGTACCGGACTAGGCTATAATAGAAATTGGATGTATCATTTCTTAAATGTGAAAACCAAATGTGTTTTTTTGGGGGTACAAATTTTTTGACAAGGGAGGGGTAAGAGGGAGGAATGTTAATAAATGTAACAAAGTTTGTGTCAGCGGGTTGCAGTCTCCTTTTGAAAGGAGCCTTCTGGTGCACCTGATTAATTAATTTTTTTAAAGAAGATCCCTTGAAAGAAGTTCTTTATAAGTAGGCTAATTAAGGTTGAGTAAGATAGCGCATTTGTGTTGTGTAGGCAGAAACGTGGACATTAGACAACATACTTAATTTTATTAAAAAAAATGTAATGATTATCAGGCCTATTTTAATTAGAAAAAAATAAAATAATTTGTTCAAAATTGCGCAGTCTTCTCTAATGTGTGGGCCAAAATGAGAAAATAAAGGAGTGAGAATGTTTATTCTTGCAATGTTTGGTCATAATTAGTACTTTCACCTACAAGTAAACATTGTGACCTCAGAATTCATCTTCGTTTGTAGGATGAGCAGACAGGTCCATGTGGATCAACCACATCTTCTGCTTAACTTAGGCCTGTAAGTCCTTTCTCACGCATTCACAATTTTTATAATCTAACATCATAGCAGACGTCAGTTTGAACAGTCGGGTTTCTTCCGGGTTACGGCGTCCAGTTCCTTGGTCTGTAGAAGCGAACGTTTCGGATAAAGTTCATTTCGTCCTCATTGGCCCATTAATTCAGACTTTCATTCCTGCGATTCTCAGCATGGCTAATTCATCCCTGAACATGGGGACAGTACGTTTCTCCGAAACGTTGACATCCACCGACCAAGCAACACGGCGTTAAAACACGGAATATTATTACAGTTATCGTCACATCGCCTCTGTTGTTTCTTGAGTATGAAACTTGGTCTCTCGCCCGAGAGGAAGAAAAACGTATGTTGCAGGCTATTTCAGAGGAATGTTGGAATATTGAGAGAAGGAGGAAAATAGGTAATGAGGAACTCAATAAAGTTCTTCACCAAAAATTAAAAATATAACATCCAGGATGTTGTGCCAACGTATAAAAGTGGTTTCCTTATTAAACAAGAAAGTTCCATGTATTTTGTACTTTGTCACGTCCGATTTAAATTTTAAGACAGCAGAATTTGGTAATTATTCTCTTATAAAGCTGCAAATAAGTTCCATTTGATTGTGTCAGATGGGTCTAAGCAATTGTAGGGATTACATAATCTCGAACAAACTTCATAAGGCCTTTTTTTAAAAAATAGCCTTTGGTGGTAATTAACCTTTACAGACTTTGAGCTCAAAATAGATAGTGACTGATAAAGATTCTACGTTTCCTTGGTCCTGTGAGCTAGGCGGTTTCAATGTTGTTTAGCGCGACAATCCTTTAAGAAGTTGAAAATATTTGTCAGAAAGAACAGGTAGGCCCCTGTAGGTTTAAAAGGATAGGCCACTAATCTCTAAAATAGGCCTGTCACTGATAATAGGCCTAGGAAAGACAAGGGAATTTTCTAAGAAGGTCGATAGAAATTAATTTGATGTCATAATCTGAGGGTATTGCATTTATGAATGAAATTAGGCCTAGCCTATGTAATAACATCTTCGGGCTAGATTCTGTATGCTGATGTATTTAAAACAATACAATTTGTTGACTGAATATGAAGTAGGCTCAGCAAAAGTTTCACGATTACGAGATTTGTATCAGCAACAAATGAAATTCAGTCTCAGCGAGTAGTTAACTTATGTAAAATTGTAAAGAACTCGCGAGATTTCAGGTTCTCGCCGCGGTCGATATGAAGATGAGAGCCTTGTGGGATAATGCACCGTTTCAGAGACATTTTCTGTTTGTGTCTTCGGGGTGGTGTGTTCTGGTGATGGAGGTGGTAAGCACCTCTGAAATGTAAAATTCTACGAGACTATACGGCTGAATATCCCAGAAGGCTGTTATCCTTAGCAGAGAACACATTTAAGAAATACCATTCTCCACTGTTTCTAACGTCATAGAGTTATAGACCTGTCTAATGTTAGTAAATTTCTGTCTTAAGTGTTTCATAGCTCGTACGGGCTGTAATTTTATTTAGAATTAATAAGACTAATAGCCAAATGTAGCTAAATAACCGTAATAATAGTAACAGTAATGAAAATAATTCTGGTGATATTTAAGAATTACCAGGGTAAAATTATAGACATTCCGGCCAAACTTTAAAATTTTAGACTGAGAAAAGTATAACTTTCTTTCACTGCAATTTTGAAACATAGTATCCAAAGACAGACACCGTTTAGTAAATTTTTTCATCAAAATGTAACATATGTACTATGTTCCCTTCTCAGTGGCTGAAATTTAGGACCTCAGCAAATATAAAACTTAAACAGAAGTACGTTCTCATGATGCCTGTTTATTCAGGTAAGGGACCTTACACGCAGTCCCAAGTGCTTTTAAATTCAATCACAAAACAACGGATGTTTTGCAAAGCAAATGCTGAAATAAGCTTTGTTTTATAGTATAGCTACTGAAGTTGTTATACAAATTCTTCGTCCGGGCCTTTTATAAAGCAAACTGAACTGGAAATGTGAATTAGCTTATTTCATATAGACCCATCAGACGCTTTTAAAGCTGGTAACTGCGTGTACATTGATCTTTGATGTACAAGTTTAACCTTATAAATTTGAGTGAGCGTTTTGTCCAATGTGTGTATTTGTGAGTTTCGTGTGATTCTCAGGGCAACAACAATTATTTTTCTTTAACAGAAATGAGTGATTGATCTTTATTAAGATTATGATTCGTGTTTTCTTTGCGATGCGAACAGAATGCTTCAGCTTCTGAGTTTATAGGCCTAAATTTCATAAAACATCGCTTTAAACTTCTAAATACACACGAAGGACAATTAGATGAAGAAACGAACACTTAGTTGTTCCCACGTAAATTAGCAAGTTCTGGTTCTGTAAACCAAAGTATGTGACATCACACACCTTCCCTTTTGTTTGCCGTCGTGGCGCCTCGTGGTGACAAGGCGTGTACATAATACTTTCATTACTTAGATAGGAACGCATTGCAGACGAAATACGTAAAGCCGAATCAACTTCCGAAACGTCGTAGTTTTAATAGTACCTTGACGATTGACAAGGGTAAAATAGACAACGCAGGGCATTTATTAATTTTCCTTCAGATAGACAGCGGAAGGATTTATCTCTTCGTCATTACGTTCATATCCGGCCCTGGGACCCGGTCTGTCTCCTGTCCAATGGATGCCGGGTGTGAACCGGTTGTGCTGTCTGCATGCAGTCTCCCGTCTGTCTCCGTTATAAACTATGACATCTCGGAGAAATATTTAGGTAAAGGGTATTCCATCATACTATCATCTCGAGACTAATGCATTACTCGAATTACGCCAAAAATAAGCCAAAGAGGTTTCATGTAAACGTCCTCGCCTGCCCGTGTGTTGGACAAACTGTCGCGTACAGATAAAGTATGAAACTTCTCAGAACTGCATTCGGATATTTACAGGACTGTTTCTTGGTGCTCTCATGGCATAATTTCTAAAGCAACGAAGGATGTGATTGGTGGGAATACCAGAAGGAAAGAGGTCACTCGGAAGACACAGGTGTAGGTGGGAGGTTACTATTTCAATTCATCCCAGAGAAAAAGTTGGATTCATCTGGCTCAGTATAGGGACCGGTGGCGGGCTCTTATGAATACGGTAATGAACACTCAGGCTCCATAAAAGTCAGTGAATTTCATGATCAGATGAGCTTCTCAAGGACTTTCCTGCATTCACCTTCAAATATGGCCGACACAATAGCCTAACCCCTAAGCCCACAACCAACATTTGGTGGTTGTATCACAGGCGAGATCCTCTGCAGACACAATAGCCCCAGGACGTAAACTGAGTAAGCTTGGGAAATCCCGGAAAGAAGACAGAAGATCATAATTCCCACGCCGAGTGTCAGAAGGCCTGTGGATCGCTGGGTGAAGCTGAGAGCGGGAAAAAAGCACTGCATAATGCTCAAAATAAAGTAATGTAATTCAAAAAAAGACCAAATGTCGCAAATACGATGTTGGATATTTATTGGGAAGATTCACGTGCCCAGATTCAGAACACGAACAACAGCCGCATTGCGTCTTCTGTTACAAACCATTGTGAAATGAGACCATGAAACAATCTATTAATAAATTACGAAGACATTTGGAAAGTATGCATAAGAACATGCTACCAAATCTGACCTCAGAATTCAACTCTTAGAAATAAAGCGAAATATTGAAAAGCTAGTCGCTGAGATGCAGCATCAGCCTTCCTATTAAAAATAAATTCCGATTTTTTATATTTTTCAATTTGTGAATTAAATAAAATATTTCGTAATTTGTGTAGATATTTATGTGTTTTTGTATATTGTTTTGAGGTTCAAATCGCAGAAATTGCTTAGGCTTCCAGTACTGATTTCAGTGGGGGTCTGCAGAAGTCAAAAGGTTAAGAACCGCTTGTTCTTTCTTCTCGCGCGGAGCCCACGGAGAAAATGCAAAGTTTCTCTTCATTACTTTGGAGAAATGGAGAGCTAGTTGCCACTTGGTTACAAGTAAGATAACCTTAACACGTTTAATATCG